GATCAAAAGCAACTTGGAGAGGAAAGGGTTTATAAAGACAGACATATATCCCGAATCCCACAGTCCATTGAGGGAAGCCAGGGCAGGCGCTCACAGTGGGTGGGGACCTGGAAAGAAGAGCTGACGCAGAAGCCATGGGAAATGCTGCTTACTGACTTGCTCATCATGGCTGGCTGGCTCAGCCTGCCTTCTTACGAACCCAAGACCACCAGCCTGGGGTGGCACCACCCACAATGGTCTGGGCCCTTCCACACCGCTAAGAAAATGCCCTACAGGCTTGCCTACATCCTGCTCTTATGGAGGCGATTTCTCAACTGAGGCTCTCTCCCCTCAGATGACCATTGTGTGTATCAAGTTGACAAAAACAAACCAAAAAAAAAAAAAAAAAAAACACAACTAGTCAGCTCAGGGCCCTTATCTCCTTCCATCTCAAAAATTCTGGCATTCCCAGAATTCACAGGTGTAGAAGTCAAGGTCTGTGGAGGTCTAGGCATATGCTGTGGAGAGCACTGAGCTTGAACCTAGGCTTCCATGCTACATGTGGTCTGCACATCTACGTCCCATTTACTGGCAGTGCCATCTGAAGTCTGCGGTGGTGGGCTCATCTCTACTTCACAAGCGGGCAAACTGGGGCTCAGCAAGACTAGACCACCTGAACTGTCAGGAAAAGGGCAAGTTCGTTTTGCTTGGGAGGAAGAGCCATGCCACCCAGTGAGGGCTCACTCATTCTGAAAAGCTTTGAGCCTCTGGCTCCTTTATCTCAGGTTCCAAATGGTTTCTAGGGTGGCCCCTCCTCTCAGGGCTGGGTGCCAGGCAGGCCATCTGCTTCTGGGGCCGGCTGCCCCTCCCACAGCCACTGCCTTCCCCCTGAACGCCTGGCTCCCGTCTGGCTGCAGCAGTAGGGAAGTTCCAGGGAAAAGATCTGTGCAGCCTCTTCTGCAACCTAAATTTTGTTGCTGTGGGTCCTGCCTTGTCTGCACAAACAGCTCTGCTGATGCTCAGCTATGGTCCTTTGTTGAGGATATGAGATGCCAGGGGAGGAGGGGCGGCACTGGACCGCTTCCCTTGGCACCTGCTCAGGGCTTGGCTGCATCAGCTCTCTGACAAGCATCCTCCTGCCTCCTGGCTCCATGATGCACAGTAGCCCCGAGAGCTTAGCAGAGAAGTCACATCAGGTCACCACCCTGCTTGGTACCGTTTCTCTTAGAGAAACATCCCAGCTCCCCTGTGTTGCCCACACCTTGGAGTCCCTCCTTTCTCTGTCACTACCACCAAGTAATGCCTGGCTGCTGCTGGGCCTTCTTCCAACGCCTGGATTTGGTGCACCTGTCCCCATAATCAGGGAGTGCTCATCAGACCTGGGCTTTGCTCCTCAGATACCCTGTCCAGGGCCAATCCACCAAGCCCAAGTAGGACTCTCATGCCTGTTCCCTCCTTGTGTGCATATGGATGTCCCCTCTTGCTGAGCAGCTTTCCCGCTAGACTAAGAAGCTGTGTGCAGGCTGGGGCAACAGTGTGCTTTTATCTTAGAGTCCCCAGCATTTGGCTCTAACAAGCTCCCAGCCATACTTCTGGGCCATATTAGGTACCATGGTGACTTCTGTCTTTCAAGGCAAGAGTCTCTTCCTTTCTCTGTCCATGCTGAGGGTCTGAGTAGTCAGGACTTTCCCGGGGCCATGAGTGGTTACCAATAACCAAACCAAGTTTGACTTTTCTTGGGGAGATGTGAACCAATGTCTAAACAGGGTACATGGTTTCCCCTCCCCCCTCTTCAGTTAATTTTCCACCTCTACTCTGGCACTTCCTGAGACCATGTTTAGCTGGGGCAGAATTGTATGTAGCTGTGTGGGCATAGCAGGAAGGTTCTAGCTCTTGGGTGAGGGTCTGATGACCCTTCTTCCTTCTCTGAGGAAATGGTTGGAGGCCTGATCTTGTGAGGGCATCCTTCAGGTAATGAAAGCTTCTCTGACTTCAGCACCATGCCTGTCTTGTGGGCCCAGAGGGCACTGCTCTTACACCACCGGCCTCCCAGCCTCCAGGACGATACTGACTGTATTTCTCAACTTCTCAAGCTCTGTCACAGTGGTAGCAGCTTCCAGGGGTGACTGTGGGCGTGTCATTAGCAATCCTGGAGCTAGGGGATGGACCTTCATTTCAAATGAACATACAAAAAGCAGAACCATGGGTCAGGGGTATCCCGAGGGAGTTCCAGAGCAGCTGCAAGTATGTATGTAGAAGGTCAGTGCTCCGGGAAAGCCAGATGGCAGGGAGCCACAGGTGCATCCAGTGGCTAACTTTGAGGCTTCTGGAAGGTCCTGCTTTATCCCCCATTCTGAACCGGAGACTGGCTTGACAGGAATCCAGGCTATGCTAGAGGAGTCCTCTTGCAAGGTGTCAGGTCCCTACTCTGCTGCCTTGGACACTGACATCTCAGTTGGGAAGATGACAGTAGAAAGACAGACAGGACCTCTGTGCCCAGAAGTGACTGAGGAGACAAAATAAGTGACAAATGGTGATGACAAGTGCTGGAGGGGGGTCTCTGGATTCAGAGACCTCAGGGCGGAGGAAGCTGAGAGGTGAAACAGGAAGTCTCAGCAGGCACAGTGGTGCAGGTGGGGATGCATGCTGCAAGAATGCACTCAAGCCAGCTCATACCTGTCCAGGAGAGGGACCTGAGTGTCCAGGGACACCCATTAATAGCTGGACACCAGCCATGGAGAGATGGACGGACATGAGGCTTCCCCAGCTAAGCATTTGGTGACATGCCATGATTGGCATGTCTGGGAACAGGAAGGAAGCTAAAGGTTCCTGAGCAGTAAAGGGGAGGAGGGAAGGTGTTTTGCATTAGAGAAGATCTCTAAAGAGCTTTAAGCAGGGCAGTCTGACGTAATTTCACTTAGCCAGACAGACTTAGACCCTGTGAACATAGAACATGTGTGTGTGTGTGTGAGAGAGAGTGTGTGTGTGTGTGAGTGTGTGTGTGTGAGTGTGTGTGCGTGCACAGGTATGCATGAATGCATACTAACATCAAAATGGGTTCCATGCTAGATCTGAAACCTGGAGCTATGAATAGTCCATTTCCTATATCAGAGTAAGGCTGAGCGTGCCCACCAGGGGCGTCTGAGTATGCTCACTGGGGCAGAGAAGACATTGACCTTGCTCCCATTATGGACAGCCATGCAGTCAGTTTCTTCCCAATAGGTGACAGCAGTAAGCTCATGAAGGCTTCATGCCTTTGTGGACAGAAGCCATGAGCTCCAACCAGCATGCACCCTGTGAATGCTGTGACTTAGAAGTGACTGTTGAGTGTCTCTCTACAGTGGCTGCATTTTTACCTCTATGGAGCCTCTCAAGACAGAGCCTCTGAGTAACATCTGAACCATTGACCAGAGCTGGTGTTTCTCAGCCGTAAAGAGCCTCTCCATCTCCAGACTAATCGAACCCGGGGTCTCTGGTGTGGGACCCACATGCTCCCCAGTGGTTCCAGATGCTCCCCAGTGATCCTCAGATAGGGCTGGGGTCAGGAGTGGCTGAAGGGACAGGAGTGTGCAGAAGTGTCTAAGCCACTGTCACATGTTGACCAGGGAATGGATACTAACACACGCATGGAAATGCTACCTGTACTGTTGTTTGAGACCCCCCCAAATGACCCCTCTGAAGTCCTCTCCTGTGGCCCTGGTAAGGAGTTGAAACATTTGTGAGATCCAGCTTGACCACTTTTCTGTTGGTCACCATGGGCTGAGTCACCATAGACACCCATTGTCCCAAGGATGGGCAACCCTGAGCCATCCCTTGGGAAATGAGATCCTTGTGAAGATGGAGGATGTTAGGGTCTCAGGAACACTCCCCAACAGCTGAGAGAAACATGGAAGACACTTGTCTGCTTACCCCAGGAATGTCAAGCAGGCAGGTGTCATTGCCCAGAGATGTCCAAGTGGATACAGCAGCTTGCATATCTGTGGAGCACAACAGGTTGGGGAAGCAGGTCTCATGTCTTTAGAAAGAGGCAGGAAATACATATGCCAAAGGTGGTTTTCTCAAAGATTAAAATATGAAGCTGAGTGAAGCAGACCCACAATGTTAGCAGCCTGCATGGCTTGGCTTGGAGGGATTGTGGAAAGAACACATCTTTTGAGTGGGTTAGTCACTTATCCAGCTTGTGTGTAGGGGCTGGCCTGGGGTGCAAGGCTGTGGTATCTCTGCTAGCAGGGAAGCCAGGAAACAAACACGTGGCCAATGCTGCCATACCCTGTGATGAATGGTGGGGGCTGGGCTGGGCAGAAGGACCTGGAAAGGGGCTAGGGGGATTTGTATTGAGTCCTGTGGCAGTACACTGGAGACCTTAAAGCCAGGAGATATGATGTATTCTGACTCGTATCTTAACTAACCTACTGTGAAGCTTAGACACTTAACTTCTCTGCATTCCGCTATCATCTGTAGAGACAGAAACACAGAAAATAACAACAGAGGATTACAATTCCTTCGTATTCAGTTATCAGAGCGCCCGGCAGGCACTAAGGCTGGGTAAAATGGCACTGTGGCTGTTATCCTGTCATCATTACAGGCAGGAACTCCTTGCCCGAAGAGGACTCTCACTCTCCACTCTGGGTTTTCTGCTTGAAAACTGTATATATTTCAGGATCCATGTGCCCTGTGCTCTCACCCAGAAACAAACAGTCCTGGTGAGGGTGCCACCTGCTAGGATCTAGCTCTGCGCCTGATCCTGACATAGGTCAGCTCCCATGACCTCTTAGGCACTGGCTTTCTGGGTAAAGAGGGGAAACCTGCTGGGACATTGCTGAGAGCACATCCAGAGAGGGGGCCAGGCTGTGGGCTCCTTCCCATCAACTCTGGAACTGCATTTTAGCACTAGCCCTTGGCTTACTGGATGGCACAGGGAGCTGGGGTTTGGGCTCTGACTCATTGCTGGCTTAGTGTGAGCTTTCCCAACTGCTCCAGCAGTCTTATCTGTTCCTAACTGTTCCCTTCTTATCCTCCAGGGCCCTCATCTTTGTGTCCCATGGTGCTGGGGAGCACTGCGGCCGTTATGATGAGCTGGCTCAGATGCTGAAGGGGCTGGGCATGATGGTATTCGCCCATGACCACGGTGAGTGCCTCTGATGTGTCACAAAGACTGGTTAAAAAAAAAAAATCCCTGCCTACTCTGTCCTATATCCCCCACCTCCACCCACCCCCATCATTTTGTCTGATTCTGTTCTCTGGGTTAAAATTTTCATGTGGTTATGTAAGTGGGACAGTGTGTCTGGCCAGCAGTCACTATCGAATCAGAGTTTTCACGAAGGCTTATTGGAAGCTCCGCTGAGAAATCAAAGCTAGGCCTGTTTATCCAGGAGCCTGCCTGGGCCAAGGAGTCCTGTGGTACATCTATAAAGTGCTTTCTCTCAAAGTGGACACTGGTTCTCTCCCAACGGACTTCAGGTGGATGCAGTAAATCAGATTAGGCCAAATTTTAATCTTATATGAACCAGCAATGGTTTAGGAAGGGCCTCAAGCTGGGCACACTGGAAAAGTCTTAAACATGTGTGCACATGCATGTATACAGATACACACATGCATATGCACTGGTGCACATACATGGCACTGTTACAGATGAGGAGGAACAATTTATTTTGCCTCATGATTTCAGAGGTTTTGGTCCATCATGGTGGAACAGAACAGAGCAGCTCACCGCAGCCAGGAAGCAGAGAGCAAGTCTTCACTAAGGGCCTTTTTTTTTTTTTTCTCCTCCCCTACATTCTGTCAGCTTCCCAGTCTAGGGGATGGCACCACCACTTTAATTCCCCACTTAATTCATCCTCTTCTGAAATGCCCTCAGACATATCCAGAGTGGTACTGTAATAATCTCTTACAGTACAATCTCAAGCCAATCAAGTTGACTATGAAGATTAATGACCACAACTGGGTGTGCACATGTAAACACAGCTGCACAATGCACACTTACACCCATGTTGTGGGAGTGTTGATGTACAAGCACACATGGGTACACACACTCATGTACTCAAATTCACATATGCACACACGTGTGTACAGGTTATGCACTTCCACACCTCCAGGCTAAATAAATGGTTTTTTTTTTCCATGTGACAGAGAAAACCTACTTCCAACAGTGCTGGGTTCATTGCCTAAGTCCGTATGTAACTTCCAGTCCTTCTTGTACTAGGATTTGAACTCAAGAGTCTCCAATAGGCTGGGCAAGCACTCTATGGCTGAGCTATACCCCCAACCCAGGATGCAGCCCTTGAGTTATTTTTGTGGTGTTCCTGTGATTGAAAAGTCACCAGATTTGATTCTCTAAGTCTCTGAAGCTGGGCTCCCAGTGAGAGCATGGTCATTTCCCCACAGCCCAGTGTGATTCTCTGCCTTTCTGCTCAGATCCAGAAATGCCACTTTGTCTATCTGATATGAGAGTAGAAAATTAAGTGAGGTCGTTGGAAGGAGGGACAGGGGAACCATGGCGGTGGCCCAAGTCTCCTGGGGGAGAGAGCTGCAGCCACGCACAGGGAGGCTCGTGTGAGACAGACAGCCTGCTAGGTGATTTCTGCCCACAAAGATCTGTGAATTTGATTTGCCAGGAGCCCCTTTTAAGCTAGATGTATGCGTGTGTCCCAGTAATTGAGATTATTAACTAAATTCTTCTCTCTCATGGCTGTGATGTTCTCTGCTGCTGTGCGGTCAGCCCTAGTTATTGGTGAGACTGTTGTTTGGGAGATAATATTCCAGGGTTATCCCCGAGGCTTTTGCTGTGGGAACTCTGTCATTATTAAGCCCAGAACTCTGCTCACTAGAAAATCCCAGGACAGGACTGCTTTGTCCTGCTGCATTTGTCTCCATTAAAATCAGCTGTGGTTGGTTGTCGTTATGTGCTGGGGACATCTTGAGAGAATCATTGCACTGAGCACCCTGAATCTCAGGCATCTGTCGTACAGCTCAGCAGCAGCCGCTTATCAGATAAACTAGGCCAGATGAAGTCAGTGCGAAGCTTTGTTTATATTGCCTGTGGTGCTTAGAAAAACCATTTTTAAAGGATCCTTTTTTTTTTTTTTTTTCACAGTCCAGGGAGAAAGGAAGCAGCCCACTTTTTGATGTTGCCAGCAAAACTAAATAAATAAGTCTGAAGTTGAGGTGGAGCTAGCTCTCTTTGATGTTCTAAGTGGAGGGCAGGGATGGCTGTGTTCACCTATTCCAAGTTCCCAGAATGACACATTGGAAACACCTCTGCACCTGCCAAAGGGAGGAGTTCAACTGAAAAAAAAAAAAAAAAGGAACCAACAGCGTGTGTATGTATGTACATACATGTGCTTTCTCTCCAAACACAGGGGCATAGCCCCACACACAGGGCTCCAAGTCCCCACTTGATGGCAAGTCCAAGCCGTCTAACTTGGACTTTATTGAACCATCTCCAACCTTCATTTTTCTCTCTTCCATGTGGGCTATGATACTGTCAGATTGCTGAGATAACGTAGAAGGGTGTAGCTAGGGGCCAGGGGGAACCTCCCCGCCAGGACTCTTAACATTGCAGGGCACACCAGCTGCTGTGCTGTGTCCCCAAATGGGCACATCTCCAGGGCTCTGAATAGTGACAGCTCAGCTGGGGATAGGAGGTTCTTATCCTGGCATTGCTGCCTTCAGCTGGGTCATCTCAGACCTGAAGAGGCCATGGGGAGCCAAAGCAAAGGCATAGACAGGAGACATTGGACGTGGCAGCTGGACAGACAACCCACAGCAACTTCAAAGATGTCATTCACAGAGCTAGTTACAGAGTTGCTGGCATCTGTTAGCCTGATACTGTAGTTCTCTTTGCTCAGCCACCGGCTGACTTCTCATTAGGTGCACTCCCCACCCCCACCCCCAGGCTGTGCTATGGCTATCTATCCGTCCTTGTTTCTCGGCTTGCCTGGAAACAGAAATTTAGCTTTGCTTTCTATTTTATCCTTTGGAGTTTTCCTGAGTGACCTCGTGGGTTTGGACTGATTACCAAAAGGGAAACCTTGATGTTGTCCATCACTGAATGCTGCCTGTCAGCCCTAGCACTTTTCCTATATTACTTCAAATTCCTCCTAAAGATCACTATCTCCATCTCATAGGCAGGGGACTCTAAAGTAGGATAGCCAGGATGCTGTTCTCTTTGCACTAGAACCATATATGGGTCCTCTGTATGAGACAGAAACCCCACAGCAGCCTAAAGAATTCTGTTTTCTCCCATGCCGTAGAGTCAGGCAGAGCAAGAATGGGCAAGGCACTGTCAACACCCCAGACTTTGTCCAGAGGTTTGCCCCACAGATGTTACATATCTGTAGTGTCCTCCCCTGTGAGCCCTGTTTCAGCAACATGTTCTCCCTCAAGAAGTACTGAGCAGGAAGCTAGGAGGAGAGAGGGGCTAAGCTCAGATCTTCCTCGGAGATCTGAATCAGGTCCCAGGTGGATCCCACTGGCCAGAACTACTTGCATGGTGGTAGCTAGCTATAAAAGAGGCAAGAGAATGAAATTGTTAACTGCTGATCCAAACAATGTAGGGACCCTGAGAAAGAAAGAAAAAAAGAAAGGAAGGAAGGAAGGAAGGAAGGAAGGAAGAAAGAAAGAAAGAAAGAAAGAAAGAAAGAAAGAAAAGGGAGAAAATACTCATGGCTGGTGGTTCTCTGGGCTGCATCACACTTACAGGCATGTCTACTGTAGGTACACTCTGGGTGCTCTACTGAGTCACAAGGCCATCTTTCATGTCATCCATCCACATACATTTCCGTAAGGTCTGAGGTGACAGCTATTACAAACATTGATAGTAATATGGATTCAAGCTCCTAACTGATTTGCTCTGGATGGAGTGTTGTGCCAAGACAGGTACACCGGCACAGTAACTTATAGTCCAGCCTCCCCCTCGATCCAGCCCTTCTCCAAAAGCATGCTGGGAGTGATGGGTTCCCTTAGTTGAGGTAAGCACAGACCATTTTATCGTCCTGTTTGTTGGTCCCTCTCTCAACCACAGAATCTCCCAATCATCGACACATAGCCCAGGTCCTGGAAGCATCACTGGTGTTTGTTGAATGGATAGAAGAATGTGTAACTCACATTAAATGAGACAGAAATGTTTCAGATTGTAGGGCTGTATTGTAGGGCTTCCGCATTGAGAATCTGTAGAAGTGGTACTGATCACTGTCGGGACCCATTACTGTGGCGTGGGTCTGGTGGCTACTGGGCTCCCGAGTCTGGTGGCTAGGGGCCTGGGGAGCTTGTAAATGATGTGTGTGGTCCTGAACAGGGAGCCACAGACCTGGCATTTGGATGCCAAGGCAATGACCTGTGTCTCTGAGGTACACTGGTAGTCCAGGTCCTGCAGGGCTGTCAGGGTAGAAGGAAGGGTCATACCACATGAGTAGGATCTTACTGGAAAAGGAAGCTGTCCTAGTTGTGATGAAACACCATGATCAAAAGCAAGTTGGGGAGGAAAGAATTTAATTGAGTTATACTTGAACACCATAGTACATCACTGAAGGAAGTCAGGTCTGGAACTCAAACAGGGTGGAACCTGGAGGCTGGAGCTGATGCAGAAGATATAGAGAGTTGCTGCTTACTGGCTTGCTCCCCATGGCTTGCTCAGTCTCAGTCTGCTTTCATATAGAAACCAGGTCCACCAGCCCAGGAGTGTCCCTGCCTACAAGCCCCCCCCCCCATCAATCACTAATTAAGAAAATGCCCTACAGGCTTGCCTACAACCTTGATCTTATGGAGGTATTTTCTTAATTGAGGTTCCCTCCTCTCAGATGATTCTATAGACTGTGTCAATGTGTCAAGTTAGCATAAAATTAGCCAGCACATAAGGACACTGATCACAGGGAACCCTGATTCTGCCTTGGCTACCACTGAAACCCCTGGGGAGCCTGAATGGAGAGTACTGTCTGCCTCCCTCATCCTTGACCCAGTTGTCTTTGGTCTTTGGTGCAGCCCAGACACTGCAGTTCTTAGTTACCCCAGGTGAGTCTTTGGCAGGCCAGGTTGAGAGCCAGGGCGGGGTGGGCTGGGGGGACAACAAAGCCCCTCTGATCTGTACTGTCACGCATCTTCTGATTTAGCCAGACCCTAAAGTCTATGCAG